AGGCTCTTGGGTGCGAACCCAAGAGCTGGGTTCGCAAGGAACCCAAGCTCCTGGGTGCGAACCCGCGAGCTGGGTTCGCGAGGAACCCAGGCTCCTTGGTGCGAACCCACGAGCTGGGTTCGTGAAGAACCCAAGCTCCTGGGTGCGAACCCAGCTCGTGGGTTCGCACCTCGCGAACCCAGGCTCCAGGGTGCGAACCCACGAGCTGGGTTCGAGAGGAACCCAAGCTCCTGGGTGCGAACCCGTGAGCTGGGTTCCTCGCGAACCCAGACTCCTGGGTTCGCCTAGAGGTAAAAGGAGAAAAAGAAAAAAAAGAAAAGGCCGGAGGAAGGAGAGGTTGGGGAAGAAAGAAGAGGGTAAATTAGTAATTAAAGGAAAAAAATTTACCACGTCATCAATCTTTGAGGGCAAATCAGTAATTAAAAGTAAAAAATTTAACCATGTCATCATTTTTTTGCCAGGTGGATTTTCCACGTAATTTAATAAAAAAACAAAATGAGTTTTTCCGTTAATTAACCTGCCACATCAGCCAAAATTTAACAGAATGACTAAAAAGGGGTCGGATTTGTGAACAGTAAGGACTAAAAAGGGGATTTTTTCTGTATAGGGACCAAAAAAGGGCTTTTTCCTATAGTAGAGGGACCAAAAAGGGTATTTAACCTAATTTAAGGAAAATTTTTGAAATTAGTTTAATTATTTATTTTGTGCTTTTAATTATTTTGTATTAACGTAAGGATTTAGATAAAGTAAAGCACTTCAGATATAAACTGAGAAGAAGTAAATAACCTCAGATATGAGCTGAGAAGAAGTAAATCACTTCAGATATGAAGTGAAATTCATTAATAAAAGTGTAGTCCAAGGAATAGATTCCAAACAGATTGATCTCGGATATACAGAATAATAGATGCAATGAATCTCAGAAATGAAGAAGTAATAATTATAAAGAAGAATAAGACGAAGATCACTTGAAAGGAATTTATTAAGGGTAAAATTTCTTCAAATTATTGATATTCCAGACTCTAGAAATTCGCTTCCCTTCAGCGTCTTTGAGGATATAGGCACCAGAATGTGGCACTTCGGCCACTGTGTAAGGGCCTTCCCAATTTGGGGCCAGTTTGCCAAAACGAGTTTCAAACTCTGTTAGGCCAACCTTTCTGAGAACAAGGTCTCCTACTTTGAATGTTCGAGGGCGGACTCGTTTGTTATAGAAGTTGGCTAATTTTTGTTTGTATACTAGAGTTTGAAGTCATGCTTCGAATGAACCTGCAAAGCCCCGAGGTGGGTCCTCGAGGTAGACACTTCAATGCTTAAATTAGTAATAATCGGATCTACCTTTTTAGAATAATTAAAGAGGAGTTTTAAGTCGATTTCAATTACCTTTCTAAGGTGGCCCCTGGGGGGTATTTATAGGCCTTAGTAAGGTGTCCACGTGGCTTGCTTAATAAGATAATCGGAGTGTGACGTGTTCTTTCAGGTGATAATTTCGGGACCGGGAAATTGTATGTGGTAAATCCAGTGTGGGCATGTCTACTATATTTATCATGCAGCCATTTCACCGGGAAATGTTGGATTTAACTTCACCTCGGTTATTAAGGGCTTACAGTAGTACGTCCGAGGTTAAGGACCTCAGACCTATCCTTACATCTTCAATGGAAGCAAAAGGTACGATCTTCCCTCTACTCAATCTTCTGTTTCTTTTTTCTTTTTCCCTTTTTTTTTTCCTGCTTGTTTGCCGAGAAAAAGCTTTTCTGTTAGTTGTAGTAATAGTCCTAGAAATTATCAGTTGTATACTCAACTGTTGATTGTTGGTACCGGTGTGTTGAGTACCAAACAGATCCTTAGCAACATCCATTCCTCCAAATTCTTGACCAAAAATTTGGTTTTTAAGTTCGGTTTTGGTTCATTAATTGCTTTTCAATTCCTTTCACTGACAGTCGACCGAACATGTATATGATGAGATCTTGGTCCCAAATGATCAATGGAATAACCTACTAAACCAAAAGATTGATCATTCTGTTGGAGGTATTAGTTGATTCTTGG